CTTCTGTGACATGAGAACTCAAATTACTCTGCTATACACATGGAACAATTATGGAGTTTTTTCTTTCCCCAGTACATCGATGCAGATTTTAGATATCTAAAGAGACTGGCATTCAGCTTCTTGGTTTGGGGCTGTGTGTACTTGTGTAACGCTCCTCTCCTCCCCCCACCTCATCCTCACACCCCTGACCAAATATTTCATCTCCGAGGTTCGCATACTCTGGAATATTCTTTTGGGGTCTGCTCTTTCTTTGCTTTCCAGATGAAGCTGGAGCAGACCCTACAGCACACTGAGCTGGGGTTGACAATTTTCTTATAACCTTCACATTTTGGTGCATTGTTGATAAAAGACAAGAGAAGGAAATGTCTATAAAGAATAAGTCCAATGCTATGTTTACATAATCTTTAATTGTTAAAGGTTTCTTGGGCATATTTGTGTACCCTGGGTGTCTGATGCTGTTGGCTGTAATCTATCTTCCCCACCCCAAAAACTCTTTTGCAGTGAAGAGCCAAATCACTGCTTTTGGGATTTCCACAAATCTTGATTTAGGATTAGAGACCTAATTGTTCTTTTTCAGGACATCATTGAGAAAATGGCCTAGCAATGTGTAAACCCATGTAAACGTTGTGTAAACTGATGTAACTGTTGCTTTATTTTTTCTATTTTTTTTTGTGAAGAAGATCAGCCCTGAGCTAAGATCCGTGCTAATCCTCCTCTTTTTGCTGAGAAGACCGGCTCTGAGCTAACATCTATTGCCAATCCTCCTCCTTTTTTCTTTTCCCCAAAGTCCCAGTTGATGGTTGTATGTCATAGTTGCAGATCCTTCTAGTTGCTGTATGTGGGACGTGGCCTCAGCATGGCTGGAGAAGTGGTGCGTCGGTGCGCGCCCGGGATCTGAACCTGGGCCGCCAGTAGCAGAGCGCGCACACTTAACCGCTAAGCCATGGGGCCGGCCCTTGCTTTATTTTTTTGAACACGTTTTGTTTCATCTGTTGTTTTGTTTCTTGGCAGGTATCTTCCTCAGTTCCAGAAAACATGGAGAAACCAATTATTATATATGGGCTAAAGAGTGGTCAGGGCATAAAATTTACAAACAAGGATGCAATTTCAAGTATGACCCCAAAGAACTGTAATTCCAAAGGCAGTAGAAAAAAGGTAGAACAGACAGTGGAAACACTGAGCATTACTGCCCCAAGAAAACAAAAATCTTTCCCATGTGTTTAAGAGTGTCTTTGGTATACCTTGCCTGTCCCTCTGTGTGCTACCTACAGCACAGCTGGGGAGTGTGTTTCATTCAGCAGATTTTTCCTTCCAGGCCTAATACCCTTTGTTTATGACCGTAGATCAGAACATCAAGGCATCGCATCAGAAGTGCAGCCATCCGGGAACGCTGTGCCATAGTACTTTTGTTCTGAGCAAGGCACTATTCTAATGAGGCACCCTATGGCAGACCGGCATGCTCAGGATGGCTGGAATGCTCTGAGAGGTCTTTGTGACATCATGACTCTCAGGGATCAGCCCATCTGGGACTGACCAGCACAGTACTCAAGGTTTGTAGCCTCTACTGTTGGAGAATGGGCCTCAGTTTAGGAAGGGCCCTGGGCTGCTACCACCTCCTCCCCCTTCCCGGGACAGTCTGGTGGCCTTTTAGACTTGAAGCAAGGTCACTCAGCCACAATTACTTAGAACCTGCCTAAATCCAACATGCTTTGCTACATTTGACTTACTAGTTTATTTTTTTCGGGTGAGCACCCCTCATCTTCCCAACTAGACTGTAAGGGCATTGAGGGTGGGAACCTGTTTTACTCAGCTTCAGTTCCCCACAGTACCTGCCACCTGTGCACTTTGCAGGTCCTTAAAAGATAGGTGCTGGCTGACTGGGTTCACCTGAAAAGGGAATGTCAGCATTTAGTCAGAGCTTCATCACTGAGAGCTGACAGCCTTGCTAGGCATAGGCAGGGAGGAGGCGGGAGGAGGGAGGGGGAAAGAAGATAACTAAGGGAAGGGGTGACAGGGTGAGCATAAGGGTATAAGGGGTGGAGAGGGCAGAAACTGAGAGGGAAAGAACATGACTGACGGGACACAGGTGGGAAAGGATATAATTCAAGGCCCAGGGTGTGGAGTCCTGAAGAGCGGGCCCCCCGAGTTTAGCTCTGGCCCCTCTTCCTTGTGCTCTGACGTCAACCACCCCTGCCTAGGGGCCTCTCCCCTAACTGTCCCCAATTCAGGAAGAAGCGAACACGGTAGAGATCGGTATGGGTCCCCACAGCAGTTCTCTCCAGTGAGCACCATATCCTTGCTACAAATTTGCCCCCACTTCCCACAGGTGGGGCGAGGGAGGCGCCTGTCCCCCGCCCCGTCGGTCCAGCGAGGCAGCCTCGGGAAGCCCAGGCGGGCAGGGCGGGGCACGCCCCCGCCCCCGCCCCTCGGTCTCCCGGGGAGCGGACGCGACGCTCACTCCTGGTAGCTCGGCCTGCGGCGGCGGCGACGCGTCTTTGAGCACAGGCTCCACGCTCTCGCAGGTGAACGCGGCGCCCCGCTGGACCACGCGCCGGCGTCCGGGCCACGAGCCAGGGCTTGGGGCTCCAGGGAGGCAGGGCACCCCCACGCTAGGAGAGGCTCCTGGCGGGGCGGGGCGGGGGCGTGCGGCAAGGTGGGGACCTGGGCTTGGGGCTTCCCAGCCTGCCCAGTCTGTTTCTTTCCTGAGGAAGGAGGGGCTGGGCTTGGCAAACCTCTGCTCAGCTCCTCCTCCCTGCCCCTCTGCTCCTCTCATCTCTCCCCTCCATCTCCGGGCTGCCAAGCCACTTCTCCACTCTTCCCTGCCCCTGGAGAGCAAAAGCATCCAAGTAGGGCGCGGTGTGGAAGAACCTGTCCTCAGTGCTGCCTGAGGGTTCACAAGGCCTCTCAATCTGGACAGCCCCGAGGCCAGAATTTGTCGCTTCACTGAGGGGCTTGGCTGAGGGAGGATGTCAAGTTCTTGCCCCCATAATTTAAGCTCCTGCTTCAAAGAGGAGCCTTTCTAATCGGCTGGGAAATCTCTCCTGGCTCCCCCAATGAAAACATTTTGCCTACAAGGAGTTTCTCATCGCTTGCCTGCATGTCTTGCTCTTCTGGGCAATTAAGAATCTCACTGTGCACCCTCCCAGGCAGGTCCTCACCCTGGGCCTCTCACCAGTGACCCCAGGGCTTCTTAGGAGAGGTCTTGCTGCCCTTGCCCACAAAAGCTTGACACAAACGAAGTGGGAGCTCGGCCCTTTTGGGTTGCAGCTACTGTGGGCCTAGTGTTTCCACCTTCCCGCCACTCTCCCGCAGGGAACCCAGGAGGAGGCAGTGCTGTGGATCAGGGCCTGCTGTGGCACTAGGTGGTTCATAGCAGTTGGTCTGATGGGCTGTGTGGGAGTCAGACCAGCAAACAGAACTGAGGCCAGTTATCAGCATCAACAGTATTTGTAGCTCTGGAGCCTGTGTGCCCACCAATGACAGTGTCCATACAAGTCCTCCTGGCTTGGCTGCTGGGCATTGGGCCTAAACAGTGAGAGCTCAAGACACACTGGCCCCTGTTGTCCCAGGCAAATTCTCCCAGTTGGGGAAGTGGCGGGCTCTTTCCGACTCCTCTACTTTTTGATTCCATCTATTGCGGTTAGTCTCTTCCTCATCGTGATTGTGGTGGCTAATGTTTACTGAGCACTTAGAGTGCGCCTGTCCTTGTTCTGAGTGCCCTACATGAAGCACCTCATTCCATCTTCTTATCAGCCTTATGAAGTGACTCCTGTTAACATCCCCATTGTACACACAAAGCTCAGAGGGTGAAACAACCTGCCTCAAGTCACAAAGCCAGTACGTGGCAGAGCAGGGACTTCATACCCTCTGTCTGCGATCAGAGTCTGAGTTCCTCTGACTAAGGCACACTACCTTCCACCCTTCTCCCTTCCCAGTCCCACTCCCCTACATCACCACACCATCTCAGCAGCAGACTCTCTCTGTGTGGTCCCTCCATGCATGTGGTGTCTTCCAGGCAGCGAGCTCAGCATTTCACCCTGGATAAAGAGGACACTTAGCAAAGCTCTTTCCTGCCTTTGTTGGGATTGAGACCAGTTGTCTTAGGGTGAGAAACCATCCACTCCAGATACAAAGCACAGTGTTTAAGGGCAGGAGTTCTGAGACTTAGGCACTTCGTAGATTAATAAAATTAATAAAATAAAACTGGGTCCTAACATAGGGCCAACAACTTTTGATTTCCCCATTTAAAAGAATGTGATTTATACTACTACTATTAATAATAATACTAGAAATAATATCTAACCATTATAGACAGAGCTTATGATGTATCAGGCACTATTTTGTCTTCACATGAATTTTCTGATTTGGTCCTCATAAAAAAACCTATTCTGTAGGCACTATTATCCCCATTTTATAGACAAGGAAACCTAGAAATGTTAAGTAAACTGTTTCTGGGTCTGCTGGTAACCATTATAGTATGAGCTCATCCTTGATTCATAAAAGACACCTTTGACAACAATCAAGTACATGAGGGAGGTCCTAACCTCAGAATTTTGGAATAAATAAGTAAAAAGCTCAGTCAGTGAAGTCAGACAGCTCTGGGATTGAGTTTGCAGCAACTTATTTAACACTCTCTGTGCCTCAGTTTCTTCAACTGTAATGAAAATACTAATATGTACCTCAGAGGGCTGTTGTGAGGAGTACATGACTTGACACGTACTGAGCCCTTCACACAGTGACTGGCACATAATAAGGACCCCAGTACATACCAGCTGTGAGCCTTGTCATTACCATTCCTCCTGGCACAGCCCTGCAGGCTCATCTCTTGCTGGGAAGAAGCTGAGTATGGATACCACAGGCTGGTCCTGCGACTGAGGTCAGATTGTTACCGTGACTGACTGTCCCCTTCCTTCCCTAACAGAAGCAGTCAGAAACATTTGGGCTTTGCATCCCATTGGTTGAAACTGGCGTTGCCCTGGCAGCACTTGTAAACATTCCGTCTGAGAATCTGGGGAACAGCTGCTGAGAGACTCTTTCTGAGGCTTCCCTGGCTACTACTGCTCCAAAGAAGGATCTGATCAGTCAGGTATCAGGGGTTGTTAAGGGTGGGGGGGCTCCATCAAAAGGACCAGCAGTGGTTCTCCCCATTCATCACCCAGACCCCAAACTGACCACACCCCTGAGCCTTCACACCCATTCTGCCTATCTGGCCTCTCATTAGGAAGGGATGGGGGGAAAAGAACTAGGAGAGGCCAGTCGGAGGGACACTTAAGCATGATGTGGCCCACAGATGTGTGAGGATAAGATCTGAGCTGCTTCCTGAGCCCTGCTCTCCTCTTTCCCTCTCCTGTTGGAGACAGGGCTCCCTGGGGAAAGTCTTAAGGACGTCCTTCCATGGATAAAGCTCCCACCTCATTTGCTTGGTGTTGGAGGTCATAGATCTAGCTTCCAATCAATTCATCAAGAGACAGTTTGCTGAAAGCCAAGTTACTGAATGACAAAGTCACCAAACGGGCCATTTTCTGAAGGATCAAGTTGCTGTATGGTTAACTCACCAAAGCCTACTGAATTTACCAATTTACTAAAAAAAAACTCTGTTGTCTTTAACTACAGAGTTTACAGCAAATTGCTTTGGCCAAATTGGCATGGCCTTTGGGCTGGGGAGAGCCAGTTCTCTAGGGTTAAGGGCCTTCAGACTCCCTCACCCCCACCCTTTAGTCTCTCCCCAGTCTCGGATGGGCAGCCTGGGAAGATTCTGTATTCCCCCAGCAGATGACCCTGTCCACCCGCCGGGGGCAGCAACAGGGAACTGAGGCAGACGCAAACTGAGCTTAAAGTGCTGATATCAAGACCCAAATGAACACGAGTCAGCATTATTCCCGGAACCCTTAAAGGCTGTTCACACCATTCCTGGCCTGATGGCCAGGGGGACCGGGTTGCCTTGTGCGGCACCCACCACACCCTGGGACCAACAATGATGTCAAGAAAGGGCACACAGCGTGACCCTTCTTGAAAGAGGCTCACAGAAAGAGTGAGCACATTCTGGACTCCAGATGGAAATGTGAGAACAGGGCCCCACGACCCTTGGTGACTCTGGGAGGGAGGAGAGCAGTGTAGTTAAGGGCTCAGGCTGTGGAGCTGGACAGTCCGGGTGTGAGGTTGGCTTCCTCGTTTCACATGGTCATAAGAGTCGCTCTCTTTATGACTCAGGATCCCAGCAGGGAACTGTTGGCCTACTAAATATTAGGATAGGTAGAGAAGGGTTAAGTAAAGGGAATATTTACAAAGGTGTGGACAGGCAGTAGGGAAACAAGGGCAATTGAAGCTCCCCAGGAGCTAGTAACAGTGGGCCATAGGGCTGAGGGGAGAGAATGGTTACCCTAACCAGACTGTCAAGTTGTGAGAGAGCTGCCCTGGGAGAAGCTGGGGCCTTCTTCACACAGCCAGCCACAGGTGACCTTGGAGGGAGAGAGCCTCCTGGTGAATATATACCTCAACCTCACCTCCCTTCAGCCTGGTCTCCCCCTTGTGTGAAACCTCCTGGAAGCCTGAAGGCATGGGAGAGCCCATTGATCTGGTCAGCCTTCTAGGGCAGATAGCAGGGGAGATGGGGGAGAGTGGATCTGGAAGGGCAAATGAAAGGTATCCAGTGGACGATCTCAAAGGGCTGTGCAGAGAGTTAAATGCAGTGAGGCACATTAAACACCCCAAAATTTGGAGTTGCTGTTTATAGGAAAATAAATAGCTCCCTTTGGAGAGAGATATCCACTTTCATGCAGCACCCTCAATGCAAGGATTGCCTGCAAGAGATTTGTAACTGTGCTAGAAGTAAGTGATTTCTCATAAGTGAAGAGACTTAAGTATAGCAGGAGACTCAAGAAAGAAAGAGAATCCAAGATTCAAGGGAAACAATGTAAACAAGATGGAAAATATGCAAAAGACGCCTAGCTCTGTGATGAACCCTTGTTCACAACCCTGATAACTCTAATTTTCACAATCTCAATAGATGTTAAAGGCATTTGGAAAATTTTAGCTATCATTTATGATAAACATTTTACTAAAACAGGAGCAGACAGATATTTTCTTGATGTGATAAATCTCAAGCCATAAACCAGCATCATACTTAGCTGATTTTTTTTTTTTTTTGCTGAGGAAGATTAGCCCTGAGCTAACATCTGTGCCAATCTTCCTCTATTTTATATTTGGGTCGCCGCCACGGTGCGGCTGACAAGTGGTGTAGGTCCGTGCCCAGGATCCGAACCTGCAAACCCATGCCACTGAAGCAGAGCATGCCGAACTCAACCACTAGGCTATAGGCCTGGCCCCCACCAGCATCATGCTTAATGGAGTAACACCAGAAAGCATGCCCATTGAAGTCAGACACAAAAGAAGGATGCTCGTTATCGCCACTTTCACTTAACATTTTTCTGGAAGTGTTAAACAAAGCTAGTACTTATATATTTCAGAAAAAGATATGGTAAAAAATAATAGTTTCTGACAGATGATATAATCGTATACCTAAAAATCCAAGAGAAAAAACTGAAAAACCAACCCCTCTTATGCTGTATTGCCTATAATTATGTGAATTCACTTTATCTTTAAAGATCCCTGTGCCCTCAGTTGCCTAAAGCAGGGATTGAGGTACCAAGACTCAACTAGAAGTCAATATTGTTAGAAGTCCTGAAGTTAGAACTCATTCTACTACATCTTGATTTAAGTCTTCATGGTTATGAGAATCTGAAAATCCTTGGTTTTCAGGAAAAGTAGATCTCAGCAGCCAGGCACAAAGGGTCAACAGTGAGGCCTCACTCCTACCCCAACCCCTCATTCCCTCCTAGAGGCAACAACCATTTCCGTGTCTTGTGATTCTTCAAGAGCTAGTGTGTACCTGTACGAAGGCGTACACACACACACACACACACACACACACAAGTAAAAAGTAACTTACTGAGTTCCTTTCTCCAGGCAAAAGAAAATGAACGTGGCTAAACGTGTCAGATTTTGGGACACAGTGGATGCCAAGAAAAGTCCTTCAAGACAGATGACAGCTGAAGAAGACAAAAGCAATGTGACTGAACTCGCTCTAGCTTTAGTTAATAGGGCCGTCACTGCTGCTATTAAGGCTGTGGAAGGTAGTAATCCTGTTTGGGCGCCTAAAGGATTATCTCATTATGTAATGCCACACTTCCAGGCAACTAACAAATTCACACCTTGTTTGCAGAAGCTGAAAACCCCATCAAAAACATCAAATGGATCACACACGGTGAATTCACAGCAGAAAGGGGGCGGCGACAAATTGAGGAGTTCGTTTTGGTAAGTTTGTTGACCACTCCAGCTTGGAACACAAGGGCAAAAAACAATAAAAAGGCTCTTGTTTGATGAAAGGTTTGAAGTCCAGAGGCCGGCCAGGTGACATAGTGGTTAAGTTCACACGCTCTGCGTAGGCGGCCCAGGGTTCACAGGTTTGGATCTTGGGCGTGGACCTATGCACGGCTTATCAAGCCATGCTGTGTCAGGCGTCCCACATATAAAGTGGAGGAAGATGGGCACGGATGTTAGCCCAGGGCCAATCTTCCTCAGCAAAAAGAGGAGGATTGGCAACAGATGTTAGCTCAGGGCTGATCTTCCTCACACACACACACACAAAAAGTTTGAAGTCCAGAAACCCTAGGAGATGATATCAAAGGTGAGTAGAATAAGTAAACATTGTCTTCATCTGGGTTCCAAAATCAAGATGGGGTAGTCTTTGAAGGTGAAAAGCACAATCGTATTTCTCAGTTTACATTTCCCTAGGAAAATCTGATATTCCCAGTTAAGCAATTTTCCCATGTTGGTGCATTAAATGGGGGCCTAATGGTCTGGGGATGGAGCTGCTCCTCCAAAACAAGAGTTCTCCATCACCAACTTTCGAATGCTCATATAAACAGAGGGATGCGGATGGATCAAAAGTCTCTGACTTAGCATTGGAAGGTACTGCCCACATACTACGAGGTACATGCCTATGAGTTCCTCTTTTTTATCCTCCTGTGCCTGGCTCTGACCCATTTGTGTGGCTTATCCTGGCAGCTCTGTGGAGAAGGCCTTGGGATGTTTTGAATAACTCGTGGGGTGGATAAAGAAGAATGGCTTGAAATCCCTTCTCATTGTACTTCCATGGACCAGAGACCAGTTGAAATTGGTGGAGATAAATTCCCCCACCCCTGGGAGAAGTTTCCAGCTGTCTCTGTTCCTCTGGCCAGCCCATTCAAAGCCTACAGCCCCAAGGGCACTTTCCTAGGCCCTAGGAAGCCCGGTCAGGTGGGAACAAGGAAAGGTCAGGGATTTCTGGCTCCACACCCTCTCTCTATGCTCCGGTGGGCACAACTCACCATTCCCATTACAAGGGGTATCTAGAGCATAATGCAGATGAATGGGGCAAAGTACTAGTTACTATTGGGCCTTCTTGCTCTGGAGCACATCTCCATTTGGGTTTGGGCACAAGCCCCTGCCTGCTGCACCCAGGGTTTGTGAATCAGACTGGAATGGGACACAGAGCAAGCAGGAAAATGTTCCCATGCAAATCCTACTTGCTATTCTGAGTAAAAGGCAAAAGTAAGTCCTGACAGTGGCCTACAGGGCCCCACGTAATCCCCTCCTCCCTCCCTACTTACTGCTCAGACCCCATCACCTACTACCTTCTCCCCTTTCACCTTCCTCTCTCTAGCCACACTTTCCTCTTTGCTGTTCAACTGCCAGGCACACTCCGACCTCAGGGTGTTTGCACTTTCTGTTCCTTCTGCTTGGAACTCTCTCCCCTGAGACCTATTATTATGGTTCATGTCTTACTTCTCTTCAGGTCTTTGTTAAGATGCCACCTGCTCATTGAGGCCTTTCATGGCCACCTCATCTAAAATTGCAACCTCTCTCCTTCTCTGATTTATTTTTCCCTTAGCACTTAGCTCTACCTAAGATATTAGATTTTACTTATTTACCCTATTGCCTTCCTTCCACCACCAGATCATATGGTCCATGAGGGCATAGACTTTTGTCCCTTGCTCCGTCCCCAGCCCCTAGAAAGGTCAGGTACACAGCAGATGCTCAATAAATATGTGTTGAATACACAAAAAGATTTATTCTCTCCATACCATTATTTGTTCACAGATGAAAAGCTAGGTCAAAGTATTGTCTTACCTACTTTGTAGGGCTGTTGTAAGGATAGAGATGATCAGAAAGTAGAAGGTGACTGAAAAGCTAAAAGCTCTATATAACTCCTGACGTAAATCACCCTGCACCCAGCCCACTGACACGGCGAGACCTAGGAGTGAAGTGTACCGTCTAAATGCCAGGTATTTCAGATGGAGAGCTTTCTCAAGCTTCTTGCAGATTTCCCAAAGTCCACCGTACACCAGGGGATAGCATATTAGGAGTTACCATTTACTGAGCATTGCTAATGCCAAGCACTGCTAAGCACTTCACATACATTATCTCATTTAATGCTCACAACAAACCTGTGTGTAGGTATATCAGTGTACCCATTTTACGGATGAGGAATCTTGAGGCTCCAAGAGGTTGGGCGATTTGTCCCAAGTCTTTCTGATTAAGCAGTAAAGTTCTCATAGGTCTGTCTGATATACTTTTCCCACCATAGTAGGAAAAGTACCTTTTTTTTTTTTTGGTGAGAAAGATTAGCCTTGAGCTAACACCTGTTGCCAATCCTTCTCTTTTTGCTGAGGAAGACTGGCCCTGGGCTAACATCTGTGCCCATCTTCCTCTACTTTATATGTGGGGCGCCTACCACAGCATGGCTTGATGAGCAGTGTGTAGGTCTGCACCTGGGATCTGAACTTGCGAACCCCGGGCCGCAGAAGCAGAGCACACAAACTTAACCACTACACCACTGAGTCGGCCCTTAAAAGTACTTTTTGACAACAAAACTAATGCAGAGTTTTACTCTCAATGAAAAATGGAACTTCAAAATATTTTAAGGTATTGCAATGTGAATAAGAATGATTAAACGTGATGTCAGAAGGCTTATATGTTGGTGGGGAGGGAATAGGTACACTTATACATTGCCAATGGGCACAATAATTGGTTTATTCTCTTCAGGAACACAATCTGGCAACAAAAATATACAAATAAGTTCTTTATAAGAGAAGCACTGGAAAATCCTCAATGCCTAATACACAGATAAGATTATTTTTATAATAAAAATAAGACATCATTATTAAAAAAACCCAGTGAGCAAAGAGATACAAAGTAGAAAATGAAAGTTCCCCCTCCACCCCCACAAACCCCAGTTCAACTCCCTCAAGGGTCACTTACCATTGATAACAGTTTTGTGCATATACATCCAGGGGGCTGTTGATTTTGAGTGTCCAATAATATGTAATTGGCTAAGCCATCCATGGTAGAGTAGCACAGTGAGATACTGTTTCCTGGAAGTGAGTATATGAAGCAACGTTATGTAAAAATCACAAAACACGAGGATAATACACACTCACTGGAGCTACATAAAAGTCGCTGCCTGCACGGTGATGAAGATGGAAAGAGACTGGTCTGATAGAGACAGCTGAATTTAATGTGTCTAAGACTGCTGTAGTTCACAAAAGGAAAAAAAAAACACTAAGAAGCCGAGTTGAGAGGAAGAAAATCTTAGAATTGAGGCATTCAGTGGGGTAGAGAGAGTGCTGAGCTGGCTGCTCGGGAGCCCTGGGTCCTAGCCCCAGCTGTTGTTTGGACTGTCCCTTCCCATAGGCCCCAGTATCCTCATCTGCAAAGTGAGGGGCTTCGTGAAACGATCTCTAAGGACCATTCCAATGCTACAAAGTCTGTGATCATGTGACAGACTAAACATTAGGGCTGAAAAAGTATATCGAGTAATATAGAAAGGTTGGAAAAAAACCAGCATGCTCCAGTGGGCCTCAAGGGGTTGACTGGTGGACTCTTTCATTAGAAGGAATAATGATCTATGTAAGAAAACAGAGTCCCTCATCTCACCGAATCTAGAGTCTGGTGCTCCTGTCTGGCTGACTGAAACAACCAGTTGGGTATAAGTTTGAAATAAAGCAAGCTGAGGCAGAAGGACAGCCTACTATTTTTTTTTAAGGAGGGCCTGAAATCTTTTTACTGTCTCCTCCCACACTCCTTCCCCACATCACTGGGATTGTTAGACTATCCCCCTTCCTTCCTTCTGTGGACCTTCATCTTAATTCAGGGTCTTTTTTGATTCGGAAGCTTCCTGTGCCCCAATAGCCAGCTCAAGGCGCTTCAACTGAACTGAACTTATTGAATACCTATAGCATTCAAGGCCCTGTGCTAAGAATCAGGGCTGCATTATGACTTCTGTGGGCCCTAGGCACTGGGAAGATTTGTGTTTTGGAAGGCGAAGCTTTTCTGAGGGTGTAGACAGGGATCTGAGGGATCTGGATGATCCTATTGCCTGACTCATTCCTTTTCTGACCTTATTTTATATACCACCTATGGCTGCAATGAAGTGAATCTGATTTTCAAAACGAGCTTGTGAAATCAGCCTCATTACTTTCTAGTCACACCTTTAGGACTCTCTGAGTGGAGTGAGCAGAACACACGTTCTAATCACTTTCTAATTATTTTCCAATTAGCCAAACTTTCCTCCCAAGTAAGAGTGTGGGAGGAGGTCAGTGTATATGTATGTGTGTGTGTGCGGCGTGTATGTGCACATACACATCTGAGCACGTGCCTCTGCATTCCAAAGTCCAATCTCAAATGATGTTTGCATTATTCACTCATTTCATTTCAGCTCCACCCTTTCTCTCCTCCACACATGGAGATAATTAGGACTTGACTCTAGTTTGAATCCCAATCAACAATGTTAGAAATGGACTCCAGAAGCAGGGCTGTAACGCCTACTGTTGTACGCTGCCTTGATCTAGAGGACCTGAATAGAAGTCTGCTTTTCTTTCTCTGTGTGCTTTTTCTTTTTTCTATGCAACAGACTTGGGAGTATCAGGACTGCTGGGTGCACTACACAGATTTTATAAAGAGGGAAGACTTGATTCACAGCTTCCGCTACATCTACAGTGTACGCTGGAGCCTGCCAACCGCTCAGAGACCCATGCTACAAGTCAGTGCCTCTGCCCACTTCAGCATCAAGATCAACAAGAACAAGCCTCCAGTAAGCTCTTCCTGTTCTGCCCTGTTCCCTTCGATGAGACTTCAGTGAGAATGGAGACTCCTCTTGTCAAGGTCATTGATGACCCCTTTTTGTAAAACGTAATAGTCATATTTCTCTCTTCACCTTGGTTGGCCCATCTGTAGCACTTGCCAAAGCTGATCACTCCCTCCTCCATTTGTCTTCCAGAACAACATACTCTCTTGGTTTTCCTCCTGCCTCACTCACCATTCCTTTTCATTCTCTACTGGTTTCTCCTCCTCCCACCAACCTCTTCATGTTGGAATGTCCCAGAACTCAGGCCTTGGACCTCTTCTCTATATTCACTTCCTTGATGATCTTATTCAGTCTCCTAGCTTTAAATGCTACCTCTAGCTTATGATTCCCGAATCTATCTCTCTAGCCCAGGCCTCTGCCACTTGGATTTGTTTTTTTTTTTTTTTTAGGAAGATTGGCCCTGAGCTAACATCTATTGCCAATCTTACTCCTTCTTTCCCCTCTCTCTCCCCAAAGCCCCAGTAGATAGTTGTATGTCATAGTTGTACATCCTTCTAGTTGCTCTATGTGGGACGGTGCCTCAGCATGGCTTGATGAGTGGTGTGTAGGTCCGCACCCAGGATCTGAACCGGTGAACCCTGGGCCGCCAAAGTGGAGCACGCAAACTTAACTGCTACGCCACTGGGCTGGCCCCTACTTGGATGTTTAATAAACATCTCACTTATTGTATCCAAAACTGAACTTCTGATTTTCCCTTCCAAACCTGACCTACCTGCAGTCTTCCTCATCTCGGTTGATGGCCAAAATCCTTGGTATCATTCTTGACTCTCTTACATCCCTCATTCAATCCATTAGGAAATCCTGTTGGCCCTACCTTCAAAAATAGGTCCTGAAGGGCCAGCCCCGTGGTGCGAGCGGTTAAGTGTGTGTGCTCCGCTGCAGTAGCCCGGGGTTCGCCGGTTCGGATCCCGGGTGCACATCAACACACCACTTGTCAGGCCATGCTGTGGTGGCGTCCCATATAAAGTGGAGGAAGATGGGCATGGGTGTTAGCCCAGGGCCAGTCTTCCTCAGCAAAAAGAGGAGGATTGGCAGATGTTACCTCAGGGCCGATCTTCCTCACACACACAAAAAAATAGGTCCTGAATCCAACGGTTTCTTACTGCTCCACTTCTACCACCCTGGTCCAAGACACCATCATCTCTCATCAAGATTATTAGTTCAGTAGCCTTCTAACCAGTCTGCTTCCACCCTTGTCCTCATCATGTCTCTTTTCAATATAGCAGCCAGCCAGAGTGAGCTTTGTAAAATGTAAAGTGAATTTATGTCACTCCTCTGTTTAAAACATTCCAAAGTGCTTCTCAAACTTCAAAGTGCACGCACATTACTTGGGGATCTTGTTAAAAGGAAGATTCTGATTGAGCAGGTCTGGGGCGGGGTTTGAAACTCTGCATTACTAAGAAGCTCTCAGGCGATGCTGATGCTGCAGGTCCAAAGACTACACTTTGAGTAGTTAGGGCCTACAAGGCCTTGTGTGATCTGGTCCCTTGTTATTTCTGCTTTCCCACTATTCCTCCTCCCTCACTTACTCTGCTCCAGTCACTCTGTTCTTGCTGCTCATTAATAATCCAGGCAGAGTCTACCTCAGGGCCTTTGCACTTGCTGTTCCCTCTGACTGGAACACTCTCCCCTAGGTATATGCATGGCCTGCTCTCTCACCTCCTACATGGCACTTTCTATCCCACCTGCCATGCTTTTGCTTTTTCTCCATAACACTTTATCATCTTCTGATATCTATATATTATCTTGTTATTGTCTGCTCCCTCTACCAGAACGTAAGCTCCACGAAGGCAGGGACTTTTGCCTTGATGTAAAACAAAGCCTGGCAAATAGTAGGCACTCAATAAATACTTGAAGGAATGACTGCTTGTAGCCACTAGGTAGACGATGAAGATGAAATACGTTGATAGCTGGTGTGAAAGGAGTCAAAATAACATCCATGAATCCAGGGTTAGGGTTCTCAGAGGAGCAGGGTTGGTACCAAGCATAATGCCTGGAACACAGCTGACATAAAAATGTTGTTTCCTCTCTTCCATCCATCCTTTCACAGGAGTTATCTGAGGCTCTGCCTGACTCTAGGGCTTCATATATGACCACACAGTGAGCCAACTATGTCCTGTATTCATCCTATCCTAGTACAAACTTATCTTTTCAGAGAGTTTGGAACCTGGAGTAATCTAAAGAGGTAAAATATGTGGAGCTCACTTCTCCTGGTCATATATGCCCCCATCAGCTCTCTTACTCTCTGATTGCTAACCTTGCCAGTAAGTAAGGCTGTGGAGGTAAGCAAGACCATGACCAGAGACCATACAGAGAGGGCTTAGAAGATGGGCTCTTGCTCAGAACTCCAAGTATAATTTTGGAGGGGCGAATGGGTGGGGGCCACTGAGACAATCTTACAACCTACATTTTTACGCTGCTTTAAAAATGTTTTCGAACCTTGTTTATCTCTATTCTTTCATTCTTATGCCATTTCTAAGAGATAAAGTAGATGCTGTCAGTTGAGTAAACTGGAACACGTAAAGAAGGGAAATGAGGAGCATAAGCCTCTCCTGTCTTGTTTCTAATATTGTGGAGATTCTTAAGGTATTTGCTGCCAAAAAGATCTTTTGGGGAACAGAGGTTTGAAGTGACAAAGAACTACCACCTACAGACTCCCAAATCATAAGGAAAATGAACTCTAGAAATTTAAGAGTATACGTACGGGGCCAGCCCCGTGGCTTAGTGGTTAAGTGCGCGCGCTCCACTACTGGCAGCCCGGGTTTGGACCCCGGGCGCGCACCGACGCACCGCTTCTCCTGCCACGCCGAGGCCGCATCCCACATACAGCAACTAGAAGGATGTGCAGCTATGACACACAACTATCTACTGGGGCTTTGGGGGAAAAAATAAATGAATAAATAAAATTAAAAAAAAAAAGAGTATACGTACGGACAAGTATAGGGACGGAAGGAATTATGAGTTGGTATGATTGGTCTAGGCTGACAGCTGTCCTTTTCTCTCTTAGGATGCACCCATTGATGTCTCTTATGTCTTTGAGGGCCAGTCACTAGTTCACAGGTAATGAACATCTGGAGACTTTTATTTCAAAAGGGTGGTGGAAAAAGGTCATTACACTCCAGGAATCCAGCAGGCCCACAGCCACATAATGGTCACTTTTCCTCTTTGGACCACCTACCCCATTAGGATGGGCTAAAAGAATTCTGCCATTGTTCTAGAAATTTTTTGTGTGTGTGTTTTGTTTTTCAGTGATTAGAAACTTAAGGATTAGTTGCTGGAGTAGGGTAGGGGCAAAGTGGGTCATGTCTATTGTTTCCATGGGAAACTTCACAATCACATGGAAATAACTCATGTATAATAATCATTTTTATTTGTATAGCAGCTCTCTTACAGAATCTTTACATATAAGCTCATTAATCCTTTTATTGATTGGGCCTAAGGAACAGATAGAGACAGCCTTCGCCCACTCTCACTCCAAAAAGTCTTTCTGCTCACTAGGAATGCAACAATAAACAGGGAATCAATCTCTGGCTCAATATTTTGTTTTATTTTAAAAGCTTTTGAAGTGTTTGTTTTTCTTCCTGTGCAGACCAGGAATGACTCGCTTTCGAGAAAAATGGCTGAGGAACGTTACTGAAGCCAGAAGTATTTTAATAGATTCAATTCCCATCTAATTCAATTGTGTCTGATTCTTACAGAATGTTTTAGGATTGGATTTCTAATCAGAATGTATTAAAAATACCATACTGCACATCAAACCACAGAATATTTATTGAGTAATAAACTTGTGGCACACAATCCAGCTGTATGTTTTTTGCATTCATTCATTTTCCATTTGGCAACTTCCATCACATTAGCAGAGTAACCAGTAAGTTGTTTTCTGTTTTTTAAAAGGTTCTTCCCATCACTATCTGCATCACTCAGAGTCTTATGGGTAGAGAAGCTAAGTTTAGACAGCTGCTAAAATTCATCTGTCAGACCAAACTGAGATTGGCACTCGGCTGCTTGTTCCCCCATTTGAGCCTAATTCTCCAGCCCAGACACACCTCTTTATGGGCATAACTGGAGAACAGAAAAATGGCAACAGTTCTACAGCTCATAATATAACCAGTCTGAAGGGTTTCCCTACTCACAGACCCCTTCGTTTACTGCGAGTTAAGCCTCACTGTTAAACAATCCAATAAACTCTGAAACCAGGAACGCTGCCTACCACAACACAGCATCACAACTGTGATGGCAGCAGGGTGGCTTGAGGACTGGGAGCAATGAAACAGGGACAGGTTCAATCACCACCCTTACTTTTCCTTGTCTTCTTCCCATCCTCACACCAGATCATCACTTGTTCCTACCATCTCTGTGAGGCTGTCTTGCCTGGCTGCAAAGTTTTAAAACACCCAAGACAAAATTACAAGTGATTACTTACAGGTACATCATAATACGTATTTACGTAGACAAGCACTGGAAGGGAACACAGAATACTAAAGACAATTGATGTGCTAAGACTGTGGGTAATTTTTCTCTCTTCTTTTTTTAACTGTTACATTTGTGCAATAAATAAAAAAAGGAGGGAAAATCTTATCAGAGCAACAGGCAAGGAGGTGGGAAACTAGATAAGTCTCCTTGGAGAACAAAAAATATATTTCAAATACAATAGCCCTCCTACTTGACTTATGGCTCAGGTGACTAAACACAGTTTGAGGCAGTAACTATCATGAGCTGAAAAGAAAATACTTCTAGCCCTTCTATTCTTCCCTCCTCTTTCCCGAAGAATATGCTACTGAAGCTGTTCTTTGGCAGATCGTTCCTGAACAAACTCTGACGAAAGAAATGGTAAAGTTCTGAAATAAATTAATATATTTTCTTTGATTTACTCAACGAGCATTTGTTGAATATCTACTCTGTGGAGGAGACAGGAGAATACAATGAAAATCCACCCTATTCACATATCACAAAATTGTTGCATTTAAACTACCTTGCCTACTGAAAACGAGAGCACAAACTCATTTAGTCTTTAGGAACCAGTAACAAAAAATGTTCTTAGAGAACAAAATTTTTAAATGAGGATTATAAATTTAGATTTTATTACACAGGGAAGTAGATAGATTATGACTCACAAAATTGTGACCTAGTTTCTTTTTAACTTTTGGAAACAATGGATTTATTAGGGTAGGCAGCAATGACGATAAATAGAAATCACTTCAAATTCAGGGGTCATAAATATTGCTACATGCCAACGGGCTGTTTAGTTCATTAATTGTGGATTAAAGGTAGACATTTTCCTAGAACATGTGTTAAATAGTAAAACTCTTGATTTATACTTAAAATATGACTGCCTTATTTTAAAACTTTGGGGAAAAAACACTTTAAACTACTATAAGGAGAGAGGGTATTTTATAACAGCAGAGTGAGAATTTCCTCATCACTCAGGTAATTGAAATTTATCCTAGGCACATAATAACAATGCAGTTCAAAACAGCCTTAACAAAAACAGCCAAAACTTCCACTGTCCCCTCTGCCTTCGCTCTTATGACCTAACAACTAAAACTGAACAAAATAAGGGAAGGAAAAAGATCATGATCTCACAGTCCCAGAATTTTCCATTTCTCCCAAACTTAAAAGTCAACCGCAGCCATAAAAAAGTGATAAAGTGAGCAGCTTCTATACAAAGTTAAACTGAATGATAGATATAAAAAATAAACCAAAAGGTTTAACAATGTTTAAAATGAAATCTGCTTATTACATAAAGGACAGACTTAAAAATGTTTAATAGCATTTTAGCTTCATCCTTATAAAACAACTAAGTTAAAACAATGATTGATTATATTTTTCCCTATTAAACTCCTGACCCTAGTTGACTCCCATTCATTTCTAGTATTCAAATAATGATCTAAGCACAGCTTAGATGGAAATAATGTACATACATTGGCACAACAGTAGACTTTCCAATATTTTATATTTGAAAGAACTATTTTTAAGTAACCTATTAAGAATTTTAAAAACGAATGTTCACATTTTCAATTCAACAAGTCTGTGGGTTAGTTTGCTTTTTGGTTTGTTTGTTGGTTTGGGGATGGAGGTAGGGACTAAAACCAAAATACATTATTTCCAGGGCAGGTTATATATTATACAAGTCAATCTCCAAATTCCAGATTTGCTTTTTTCAGCAATGCCTTCATTTTGTTAACAAAAGTGGCCTCCTGTATGTTTCTGTCAAGTCCATTTATCACACATTCAACAAAGAGGAATGATAATCTCCCACAAGTTCAGTTGGGGTGGGGTTGGGGGGGTATCATGTCGAGCTGATAGTAGCACTGTCCCACGGTGTGAGAGTTTGGTTTCTCACATCTCACTGATGCTTTCTCTCAATGCCACCTCCCCCAATATAGTAGGGTTTCACTCATAATTTGGATTTTTAAACCAGAAAGTTATTATGGTCAATCCAAAATAACCCAAAGAACTTGCTAAAGTTACATCAATAAGCAGGTTTTTATTCAATGACTAAAAAAATTAAATAGAAGGCACAGTAGCACTGTAAAGCATTTTCGGATCATAATAATCTTTTTGTATGGATATATGGAACCCAGACTTTCTTTTTTGTTGTTAAAAATGTCTGCTGAACAATCAGAAAATCATTATTTGTCATCTTTCCCTTTAGTTTTTCTGTATACCATCTCTCGAAAACTGGCCAGAATCTTGTTTTCTCTCTTTCGTCTCTCTTCTTGGTTAAAGGACGCAAGGGCTCTCTTCTCATCAGCACTATAGATCTGGTTCTCTTTTCGCAGTCGCACAGCCTCCATTCGGCGATGCCTGGAGATAATTTTATTGTCAGCTTAATTTCTCAGTAATTATTCTCATAGTACTTCCTCACTAATCCTGTCTTAATACAGAGTGGTCTATTTAAAAAGCTGACAAGTAGAAACCATTCTTATAACGGCTTAGATTTTCAAAAGATCATTTGTTTTTATCTGCAGACGTGTCCTTTGATTCATTTCTAATATTCAAATAATGATCTCTGAGGTTCTGTCAACATAGTGAATGTTATTAATTTCAAATAGTAAGGGCATATGTCTAATTCTGTTGTTTCCAGTAAAACAAACAGAAATGGTCAAATTATTAAACTTCCTAGGCGGTATGTGGAATTTGCTTTTGTGGGATTGATAGTAGGATAGATGAAAGATTTAAGTTGTCATCAATCAGGTGGAACTTCTTCAAGGTTCTAATTTATCATACAACCAAAAGAACCAAGTCTAAATCTACAACTGAATTTTTTGGTGAGTTTTGTGAGCGGATTTAACTTCTTTAGAATCTAGTAGCAGCTTAAAGAAAAGAAAGAAGGGTTTTAGCACAAGGGCCAAATGAGGAAAGTATAGGGGCAGAGGCAGAGGGAAACTATTACATCATCTTCAAAACGTCTGCCTATTTAGAGGGAAAACTTCATGAAAACCTGCCTCTTTTATGTCTATGTACCCAATCCTACACAATCAGTTCAAGATGAAGTTTGAGCTACATCTAGAAAAATAGAGAAAACTGTGTAAGGAGAAGAGGGGAGAATCATTTCAGATTTGTGTGAAGGTGGGGGAGTGGCAGGATGGAGAGCCAATGTATGACAAGGAGATGGAGATGGCAATGTTTTTAGGTTGCTCAGGGTACTGTGAGTAGAGCAGTTTATCTGGAACAGGAAGCGCTATGGGAACAATGCTGTAATAAACATCTATGTACACGTCTCCTGGTACATGGAAGATTTTCTTTGGGGTATGTAGGTATGGAGTTGCTGGGTCATAAAGTATATGAATGCTCAACTTTCCAAGATAGTGTCAGACTGTTTTCCAAAGTGGTTGTACCAATTTACACCACCACTAGCAATATTTAAGAGATCCTGTAGATCCACATCCTCTCAAATGCTTGGTATTGTTAGAACTTTGAATTTTTGTCTACCAAATGGGTGTAAAATGGTATTTCAGTATGTTCTTGATCTCCATTTCCAATGATAATGAACATGTTTTTATTTATGTGTAGGCCGTATATATTTCTTCTTCTGACAAATGCCTGTTTTGTGTCATTTTCCCACTTTTCTTTTGGGTTGTTTATGGGTATTCTTTAAATATTCTCAATACTAACTCTTTATCATTTGTGTGTATTGTAAGATCTTAAGCCCAGCTTGGAACTTGTCTTTTTACTTATTTTAAGAGTTCTTACTTTTAACCTAGGCAAATTTATCAATATTTTATTTTATGGTTAGTGCATTTTGTTTGCCTTCTGTAAGAAATGCTTCCCCACCCCAAGATCTAACAGATATCTGCTCATATTTTATACTAAGAGTGATAAAGTTGTTCTTGACATTTAAGTCCTTTATCTAGCTACACTCATTTTTTTTTTTTGTGAGGAAGACCAGCCCTAAGCTAACATCCGATGCCAATCCTCCTCTTTTTTGCTGAGGAAGACTGGCTCTGGGCTAACATCTGTGCCCATCTTCCTCTACTTTATATGGGATGCCGCCACAGCATGGCTTAACAAGCGGTGCGTCAGTGTGCGCCCAGGATCCGAACCCGCGAACCCTGGGCCACTGCAGCAGAGCACGCGCGCTTAACCACTTGTGCCACTGGGCCGGCCCTGCACTCATTTTTAAATATGGTGATACAGAGTTCTACTTTCATCTTTTTCCATATGGATAACCACTTTTTTTCCTGCTCCATTTACTGAATAGTTCCTTCTTTCCCCACTGATCTGACATGCCATCTCTTTCATATACAGAAGTTCTGACTATATATGGCTCTGACTCTGGGCTCTATTTTATTCCACTGAACAATTTATTTGTTCCCTCATGCTTTCTAAAGTGCTGTAAGCTTCATAATAAGTCCTCATATCTGGTAGGGAAAATCTCATCTTCCTGCTTTTCAGAAGTAACCTGACTATTCTTGGTCCTCTAAGTCGAACATATAAATTTTAGAACCACCTTATTAAGTTTCATGAAAAACTCTGTTGTGATTTTGATTGGAACTGCACTGAATCTACAGATCATTTTGGGAAGAACTGACAACTTTATAATATTGCCTTCCTATCCATGAGCATGGTATCGCTCCATTTATTTAGGTCTTCTTTAACATCTCTTAATAATGTTTTATAGTTTTCTCCGTAGAGGTCTTGGACATCTTTTGTTAGGATTTATTCCTAAGTCCTTCATATTCTCTGATACTATTAGAAATGTTGTTTTTTTAACTTAATTACATTTTTCAGTTGTTTGTTGCAGGTGCATAGAAGTGCAATTGATTTTTGTGTATTAACCTTATATCCAACCATTTGTTAAACCTTCTTATTATTTATAATTCATCTGAAGATTCTGTAGGATTTCCTATGTAAACAATCACATCATTGACAAAAAAATGACAGTGTTATATCCTCCTTTCCAATCCTTATGCCTCTAATTTGTTTTTCTTGTCTTACTGTGCTGGTCCTCAGATATAATGTTTCCAAATGTCGGTCCTCAGAATTCCAAGATTCTGGAGGTGCTTTAGAGGTTCTACAAATATTTGCCTCCAATTTCATTTAAAAATATTTACCTACTTTTAAAAGTTTATAAAGTTTTAAAAAATCCAAAATTCAGTTTGATCTTGGTACTGATGCCCTATTAGTTCACTCTCCTCGTTCTTTCTGGTACTTTGCTTTCTCTTCCCTAATTTTATATTCATTTCCCCATGCTGAACCTGATGTCTGTCATAATGCTTTTCTGTTCTTCATTCTTAAGAGTCCACAGAGAACTGGAGGCAAATTCAGAAACCAGGAAACATTGTCGTATGAAAATGCTTTCCTAACTCCCAGAATGTCACATTCCTCATGGGGCAGTGATAAACAGCTGAATTTAACTATATCCTCCAGACAATAAACTATCTGTACCAAAATACAAACAAGGAAAGGACACTGGGAAGACTAATTCTTTGAAGTTGGGGATATAGCTGAGTGCGAGGCTGAGCTGCATACATACTAAAATTGACAACCACATTTATACCAATAAAACCAATATTAAACCAATATTTGTACCCTACTTTTCATTAGGAATGATTACTTAATGAAAACCAACCACTAAAATATAATTCTGGTAGTGAAAAAGAAGGAAAAGATCTAATAATGGAAACTGACCTCAATATCCAGAACATACCTGCTACCACTCATTACGTAACCCGAGCATTCAAATGATGCAATTTCTTCACTTGTCAAGCCAATTTCACCTCTTCGTGGGATACGTTTTCCAGCTTTTACATATTCAGCCATAGCTGCACCTTCACCAGGTAACAGAGCATGGCCATAGCTACAAAGTAATTCAGAATTCAGAAAAGGTTCATTATAAAAAGCTCACCATCTAAAGAGAGCACAAAAAAACATTTTCTCTCAGAAAAAGGTAGGAATAACAGTTGCTGAGTGGCAGCATGCTGGGAAGCCCAATGTGAAATCAATTAGTGAACGCTGCATTCTGACCTGTATAACTAACCCAGAAATGCAGAGATACTCTGGAAGAACAAAAGAACTGATGTTAGTGAGTACATATTCATGGTCTACATTTAGGGATCAATTTATTCCTACAGATATTGCCTTTACTGATTTTGCCTCCAGTAAATTCCTTTTCCCTTTAAACAACAACAAAAAAGTAAAGAAATAATATATCTCAAATTAACATACTTTTTAGACTTATAACCAATAACAATGGTAACAGTTATCTACAGGAACAATTATCCATTAACTTTCATTCAAGGGGAATTTAAAAACTACCATCCCTTCATTCAATTCATTGAATAATTCTTTAATGACTATTAAACTCAAAGCTTGTAATACAAAAATAATCTCTGTTGTTGTGTAATTTACATATTAATAAGGATATAACTGCAATATAACACAGAATATATAATACATTGCATAAAAGAAATAGAAAATTCTATGAGGACCAAAGGATTAAAGCGGCGTAGCAATCACACCTACTTATGGAGGGGGAGTGCTGGGAATCAGCACATGCCCCCTCCTTTTGAAAAAGGCTTTCAAGGATGTAAGGATTTTACTAGGAAGAAACTGGGGTTGGGGAGAAACCAGGGCTGGGAAAAGAAGGGAGGGCGTGTTGGGGGAAGAAATAAGGTGAATGAGGCACGATGTGGGAAAGTACACAGTAAATACAAAGAAGTTTTAGTTCAGCTCAGTTGGAACCTGGGGTATAAATAAGGGAGTAAAGAGGGGGAAGCTTGGAAAGGTAAGTTAGGGCCATACTTTTGGGAAGGTGCTTTAGGTATTGTAAATACACTGTTACTCACTTCAGAGGTTTATCATCTTGAGAGGCAAGTGTTTTTGGAGCCTCTGGGCCAATTAAATCTGAGGGTTCTTCAGGCTCTGCACAAAAGATGTTCAGAAACATATTCACATTTTGACTAATTGGTTAATTTAATGTTTTATCTGTTCTGAGTCAAAGTCTATCCAAAGAACCTACTTGACCGATCCTTCCAGGGATTCTCCAGAAACTCTTCTTGGGAATCTTTAGAGCTTGAATCACTGGAATCTTTTCTGCTCTTCTTAGACTTCTTTTTCTTGTATTTCTTTCTGTAATGATTATAATTTGATACAAATAGACTTAATATTCCCACGTTAAAGAGCATATTATTTTTTCAAGACAATGAAAGAGTGATTAAAATGATTTGAATTTTCAGCTTATTCAAACTTGTTAGAGAATAATTTTTTTTAATTGTGAAATTTTTGTTGTACATTATTGTTTGTCAGTCACCATTTAAGTGCATCCCTCCACCCCTTGTGTCCACCTCCCACCCCTCTAGCCCCTGGTAACCACCAAACAGTTCTATCTGTACGTGTGTTGGTTTATCTTCCACATATGAGTGAAATTATGCACTGTTTGTCTAGAGAAGAATTTTAATTAAAAAATCTTCTAACTTATGTAACCAAATCATGTTTCACTATAAACATGACGCATAAATCCCTAAAGGGAACAATGAAATACTATTCTCATGTTATAGAAAGATAACAGAAATAAAGCAGTTTCAAAAACAGTTCTTACCAATTTGAGCATCAATAATTTTAAGTGTAATGGATTAATATACATCAAATATGTTTGAATCCTTGGGTTTATAATGATACTAAAAAAATCCAACTCATTATTTTGAAAACTCATAAAACCAAAAAAGTAAGCAATTATCCTGCCTTTCCTATACAAATTGTACTTCAAGCTAACCAAATAGTTGATGAGGGTAGGTATCTCTTATAGAATTATTCTACCTAATAAATGAAGAAAGCAAGCCAGAATCAGACTATTATTACCATTTTGCAATTCCTGATGAAATAAGGGACCTAGGCAATGACCATCAATGGCTGTTAATATGACAAAAAGAGACAAGCAGACATTATCTGCATCCTGGTGGAAATACATAGCACCACCTATGAACTATTCCTGCCAAAAACTCAAATCTGAACTTCGTCAAGTCTCTCGATCTAACTATCAATTTACAGGAAATACAAAGGACACAGAACATGTTAAAAGGACACCTTAAGAATACAATCAGCAAAATCCATATTGCAGGAAACTCTATGGGAGAAATGAATTGGTTTCTTCAACAAATAAATTACAAGAGCAAAAAGGGAAGGGGAACTTATCAATTTAAAGAGATGTAAGAGACATTAACCAATCGCAATTTATGGACATTATTTGGATCCTGATTTGAATAAACTGCACAAAAAACCCCTGAGAATTGAGGAATTATTGTTAAATATTTTAGGCGTGATAACAGTATTGTGGGTTATGATTTTTTTCTTTTAAAAAGAATGCCTATCTTTTACAGAAATGTGATGGTTTATGGATGAAATTATATCTGGGATTGGTTTCAAAATAATGAGGGGGGAGTTAATTATCAAGCCCCTGAGTTAATAATTGTTAAAGCTGGGTGATGGTTACACGGGGGATCATTATACTATTTTATGTAATTTTATATATATTTGAACTTTTCCATAATAAAAATTGAAGGAAAAAACTGACGATCTGCGTTTCTTCTTCTTTTCCTTTTTCTTGGCTTTCTTTGCTCTCCTTTTCGCATCTTCATCTGCAAATTAGAACACATTATAACTTAAAAACAATTTTAACCCTAAAACCCCAACACTTTTGGGTAGATAAATATCCTATTGCTGTCCTATTTGTTGTTACAGAGAAATTCATTCATTCAAACATTTATTGCTACTTCTCAGGAAATGTGCTAGTCACTGGGGACGTAGAAAATAGTCACACTCAGTATTTGATGATATAGGGTATTATTATTAATTTTATTGTGTGAGATAGTATTGTGATTAAGTTGGAAAATGTTCTTATTTTTTAGAGATGTATACAGAAACATTTAGGGTGGCAGTGTGATATTTATAATTTACTTTGAATATCACAGCAAAAAACCCATATTTGAAACAAATATGTCATAACACTAACAACTGCTAAAATCTAGGTGATATGTATACGGCATTATACTATTCCCTTCACTTTTCTGAATGTCTGAATATTTTCATGATGAAAAGAGGAAAAAATGTATGTGTGTGTTTGGGGGGGATGCTTTCCAGGAACTCAGTCTAATGGAGGAGACAGAGGCAAAGAGTGAACTAGAATCCGGGGTGAGAGAGGGAAGCACGGGGTGCTCTGGACATACAGAGGAGTCTCAAAATCAGGCTGATTTGGGGAGGGTGGCTGAGGAATGGTTGACCAGGAAAAGGTGACTCTTAAGCTAGTTCTTTTCAAAGTCAGTTTTATTACGAATGGAATGCATGCCCATTGTTGAATGAGTAAGCCGAGCTGCATGCAGGGAGAGACTGCCATTGTAGCAGACAGACTCTGCACCATGTAACAGAGTTGAGAGAAAGAACGTGGCATACCGAGGAGACAGAAAGTTGTGCTCAGGCTACTAGAGGATGCTGCGGGAGGGAATGACAGGGTATATGTCATTAGAGAGGGACCAATCAGGGTCTGAACCTTACCCTGAAGGCTTTCGAGAGCTACTGAAGGATTTTAAGTAGGGCCTGACTTGTTTAGATGTGTGATATAAGAAAGTTCAGGGGCCGGCCCTGTGGCTTAGCAGTTAAGTGTGCGTGCTCCGCTACTGGCGGCCCGGGTTCGGATCCCGGGCGTGCACCGACGCACCGCTTCTCCGGCCATGCTGAGGCCGCGTCCCACATACAGCAACTAGAAGGATGTGCAACTATGACATACAACTATCCACTGGGGCTTTGGGGGGGAAAAAGAGAAAAGGAGGAGGATTGGCAATAGATGTTAGCTCAGAGCTGGCCTTCCTCAGCAAAAAGAGGACGATTAGCACGGATGTTAGCTCAGGGCTGATCTTCCTCACAAAAAAAAAAAAAAGAAAAGAAAGTTCAGTCTTCCAGCAATGAGGAAGAAAAGCGACAACAGGTGCCAGGAAACTCGGGCGACATCAGAGGAAGGGGCGCCTTTGTGTAATATGTCCCCAGAGGAGGTACCCTCTGTTAATCATCAGCCAGGAGAGGGCACAAAGATGTGGCTTTTGTGATGCGCCACCCCACAGGGGGTGTCCTCCACAAATGAGCTGCCAGCCTGAAGGGGTCCTTGATGGTGTGCCTTTTTTGAAACTTTACAAAGGTGCCGACTGAGTGTGAGAATTACGCAAAAGAGCCCTTCCACTGGGTTGATGCAGCCCTGTATGGCTTGGTTTGGCACCACACGTCTCGCAGACCAACCCCAACTTAGCTCGGTGCCACATGCCTTATACAACTACATACAACCAATCTGGAGTCACACTGCTTAGGTCTGCATCCCAACTGTGTGAGCTTGAGTGTGGTACTTATAACCCGCTCTGTGCCTCCATTTCCCCACCTCTAAGAAGTATCCTACAGTTACTGTGTGCGCTAACTAGAGAAAATAAACATCAAGCACTTAGCAGGGTGCCTGGCACAAAGTCAGTGAGGATTCAAAAACTCTTGGCTATTATTATTGTTTTTAAGAACCTTCTTCTAAAATAAGCTTTAAGAAGTAAAACTAGTTTTTTTTGTTTTTTTTTTTGTGAGGGAGATCAGCCCTGAGCTAACATCTGATGCCAATCCTCCTTTTTTTTTTTTTTGCTGAGGAAGATTGGTCCTGAGCTAACATCCACGCCCATCTTTCTCTACTTTATATAGAATGCCGCCACAGCATGGCTTGACAAGCAGTGCATCGGTGCGCGCCCAGGATCCGAACCTGCGAACCCAGGGCTGCTGCAGTGGAGTGCGCACACTTAACTGCTTGTGCCACCAGACCGGCCCTGTAAAACTAGTCTTGAAGCAGGGCTTGCAGAATGATGTTGGTTTTCTTACCACTGGAGTCTGTTTCAGAATCAGAGTCACTGTCACTGTTGTCAGAATACTTCTTGTGTTTTCTTTTAGATGATTTTTTCTTTCTCCTTTTCCTGGATCTTTCTTTTGAATGACTAGACTTCTTCTTCTTCTTCTTTTCTTCTACATAAAATACAAATAAAAAACTAACTTCTAAAGAAGTATTTCTGAGCATCAATTTTATTGTATTTGAAATACTTAAAACGAATATATGACAGGCAATTTGAGTAAAAGCAAAGTCTAAAATTCAACTATTTATAAACTTATTTTTTAACTTCTCAATAAAGTTCTGTATTTAAAAAATACCTTCTGAAGAAGAAGCTGAAGTGGTGCTTTTCTTTGGTTCTTCATCCTCTACTGGTGTATGTTCATCAGAGCTGAATTTAAAGAAAATGGTTGTAAGAATCAGAAAAGTGATGAAATATGGACCCTAGAGTATAAGAATACAGACTTAAAATTTTTCAGTAGTGACATTGACTGTCCAAGAGCCAGGAAAAGCAAGCACTGGACTGCTTTTGTAAGAGAACACCTTCATGATAGTGTAATAATCACTTACACTTGCGTAATGCTTTACAGCTTACAAAGTGCTATTCAAACCGAAAGCGGCATGGAGGATTTATATTTTCAGAAGAAACCACAGGACAAAAGTAAGCAAACAGGAACCATAAGGAAAGATGAAGGAAACTGGAGACGAGAAGGCTGCGGGAAGACTTTATCATAGTTTTATTCCATGTGTGTAATGGGCATATGTTAGAGCAGCAACTGTTCTTTCTCCACACAGCAGGAAGAACCTAACACACTACAGTGTAAAGAGATTTCATTCTGTTGTAGAGAATTCTGAAGATCAGTACTGTTAAAATTCTATAATCGTTTAGAAAGGTAATTCCTATTTCATATAATCTTTTCCTCTGAAGATCACATCTGGAATAATTTAGGTATTGCCTAGAAAATTATTTTTAGGATTCCTTCCAACTCTAATTCTTTGAGTTCAGATTCTTCGAGTATTTTCCAAAGGTATCTATAAGAACAAGTTTCAGTACCTCAATATAATAAAGGCCATATATGAGAAGCCCACAGCTAATATCATATTCAATGGTGAAAAGCTGAAAGCTTTTCCTCTAAGAGAAGGAACAAGACAAGGATGCCCACTCTCGCCACTTTTATTCAACATAGTATTGGAAGTTCTAGCCAGAGCAATTGGGCAAGAAAAAGAAATAAAAGGCATCCAACTTGGAAAGGAATAGGAAAACTGTTATTAATTGTAGATGACATGATATTATACACAGAAAATCCTAAAGACTCCACCAAAAAACTGTTAGAACTAATAAATAAATTCAGTAAAGTTGCAGGATACAAAATCAATATACAGAAATCTGTGGCATTTCTATACATTAATAATGAACTACCAGAAAGATCAATTAAATAAATAATCCCATTTACAACTGCATCAAAAAGAATAAAATACCTGGGAATAAATTTAACCAAGGAGGTGAAAGACCCGTACACTGAAAACTATAAGACATTGATGAAAGAAATTGAGAAGACACAAATAAATGGAAAGATCTTCCATACTCATGGATTGGAAGAATTAATATTGTTAAAATGTCCATACTACCTAAAGCAATCTACAGATTCACTGCAATCTCTATAAAAATTCCAATGGCATTTTTCACAGAAATAGAACAAATAATCCTAAAATTTGTATGGAACCACAAAAGACTCCGAATAGCCAAAGCAATCTTGAGAAAGAAGAACAAAGCTGGAGGCATCACACTTCCTGATCTCAAACTATATTATTAAGTTATAGGAATCAAAACAGTATGTTATTGGCAAAAAAAACAGACACACAGATCAATGGAACAGAATAGAGAGACCAGAAATAAACCCACACATATATGGGTCAATTAATTTATGACACAGGAATCAAGAATATACAATGGGGAAAGGACAGCCTCTGCAATAACTGGTGCTAGGATAACTGGACAGCCACATGCAAAAGAATGAAATTGGACCACTGTCTTACATCATACACAAAAATTAAGTCAAAATGGATTAAGGACATGAATGTAAGACCTGAAATCACAAAACTCTTAGAAGAAAACATAGGCAGTAAGCTCCTTGACATTGGTCTTGGTGATGATTTTTTGGATTTGACACCAAAAGCAAAGGCAACAAAAGCAAAAATCAACAAGTGGGACTACATCACACTAGAAAGCTTCTGCACAGCAAAGGAAACCATCAACAAAATGAAAAGGCAACCTACGGAATGGGAGAAAATATTTGCAAATCATGTATCTGATAAGGGGTTAATATCCAAAATATATAAAGAACTCACACAACTCACTAGCAAAAACACAATCCAATTAAAAAATGGGCAGAGGATATGGACATTTTTCCAAAGAAGACATACAGGAGGCCAAGAGATACACGAAAAGATGCTCAACATCACTAATCATCAGGGAAATGCAAATCAAAATCACAATGAGATATCACCTCACACCTGTTAGAAAAGCTGTTATCAAAAAGACAAGAAATAACAAGTGTTGGCAAGGATGTGGAGAAAAGGGAACCCTTGTGCACTGCTGGTGGGAAAGTAAACTGGTGCAGCTACTACGGAAAACAGTGGCTTTTAATTTTAATTTTCAAAAAATTAAAAATAGAACTACCATATGATCCAGCAATTCCACTTCTGGGTATTTATTCGAAAAAGATATACACACCCCCATGTTCATTGTAGCATAAAAAAGAATGAAACCTTGCCATTTGCAACAACATGGATGGACCTTGAGGGCATTACACTACGTGAAATAAGTCAAAGACAAATACCGTATGATCTCACTTATACGTGAAATCTTAAAGAAAAAACAATCAAGCTCATAGATACAAAGAACAGACTGATGGTTGCCAGCGGGTGGGGGGTAGGGGGTGAATGAAATGGGTGAAGGGTGTCAAAAGGTACAAACTTCCAGTTATAAGATAAGTCGTAGGGATGTAATATACAACATGGCGACTAAGGTTAATAATACTGTATTGTGTATTTGAAAGTTGCTAAGAGAGTAAATCTTAAAAGTCCTCATCACAAGAAAAAAAAATTTTGTAACTACGTATGGTGACGATGTTAACTAGGCTCTTTGTGGTGATCATTTAACAATATATACAAATATCGAATTATTATGTTGTCACCTGAAACTAATATAATGTTGTATGTCAATTATACTTCAATAAAAAATAATTTATTTATTTATTATTTTTTTAAAGATTTT